CATAGAACACATTATCTAAATGATAAAACCATGAAATTAAAACCCACTGAATATGCCTGAAATGGTAAATCAGTGAAATTTAAACCCAGTGAAAATTAGTCATTTTACAGTATATCTGAAATAAAACTTCAAAACAGGATAAACAAAGGTCATAGCGTTGTAATGATGTCAACTTCGTGCTGGATTCAGCAAATGCAAAAGAATTTTGGGACTATTTTCACTCTTGATAATGTGCTAAACACATTTGATGATGTTCTGTTTTATGAAATAAGTGTATCGCACCACTATATTTCTCTCTTAAATTATTTTGATTTTGAAAACATTTCAAGTTTGCGGCCAACTTTCCGGTCCTTTCACATAGTGGCATTCATAATGAGCATGTAATTCAAAACAGACCCTTTGAAGGATAGTTAACTGAATTCAAATTTTGCATTTGTTGAGCATAAAGTAGGAGAAACGTTCACCATGTTTAATTGCAGGTGATGTTTTGCAAGAGATTTGTGAAAGTAACACTACATGCTATGGGTTATTTTTATCATTTAAATATTCAATGTATTTCAATGTAGCAAAAATAAAAACTTGGGATAATATAACGTTTATGCTCTATTAGAAGCACACATAGGCCAGACAAAGCATTTTTTCCTGTGCTGGATCACAGTTTTACCATATTAAATCAATTTTCCACTCTTAGTTCGTAGCCAGATGTTAGTTATCATGTTGATGTTGGTTTGACCTTGAGGCACATCGCCAATATAAAACAATATCACATTGACAGTAACACTTAATGTTTAACTGACCCACAACTTATGAATTTATGTATTAAATTTCTTGGATGCTTAAAAAAATGCTATATAATGCTCCTTCATTTGTATTTACTGTGAAAACTGTTTGCCAATAACTTGGTCCAATCCCACAAATTGTGTGAAACTCATCTCAGTATTTTCATACGTGTAAGTTGAGCAAGCACAGCTTGGTCCCTCAGATATTGTTGTCATCAGTATTTGTGATAAAAAGCAGTGCAATATTAATGAAACATTGAATGGCTGAACATATTGTGATACATATTGACTGTCACTGTACATGCCATTCACTGTTTACAAATGTTACATGATGGTAACCATACATCTAAACCCATATGTTTTGGTCATTGGACTATGAATGTCATTTTGTTTGTTGGGTTCTATTCTATTTTACACATATGCAGTAATGATATGAAGTCAAATCTCCTTGGCTCCTATTTTAACAGTATTAGAATTTACATCATTAACAATACAAGACTGTTTCAGCAAATTGTAATAAAGAAAATGTTTTGACTTGATGAAACTGGTGCAAAAAAAAATCAAACTTCACACATACATGTACATCATACATGACATAATTATATATATATGCGCACATCAATTTGTTTCACATTCTGATTCAAGATGGCCAAATGGCAGCCATTTTTGTACTGAAAAGTCATCAAAATTAAGCATTTATCTGGCTGTTTACAGATGGATTTTGTTCAAACTTGGTATATACATTGGACATTATGGGACCTTGATGCAAATCATTTTGTTTTTCAGATAAGATTCAAAATGACTGACTGGCGGCCATTTTGTTTTAATGAATGAGCTTCTAGAGCCATATCTCTGACTTGCTTTGGCTGATTTTGTTCAACTTTTAAATATTCATTATACATCATGTCATTGATAAACAGATATATTGGTTTGACGATCCTATTCATAGTGGCCAAATGGTGGTCATTTTTGTGCCAAAAAATCATCAAATATCAAGCATCAAGCATTTCTGGCATTTTTGGATGGATTTTGTTCAAACTTATAACATACATTAGACATTACGAGTTCCTGATGCATGTCATTTTATTTTTCAGATGGGATTCAAAATGGCTGACTGGCGGCCATTTTGTTTTAATGAATGGTCTTCTAGAGCCATATCTCTGACATACTTGACTGATTATGTTCAAATTTTATATATTCATTATACATCATGTTATAGATATATACATGTATTCAAAATGGCTGATTTTGTTTTAATTAAGGCTGTTTCAGAGCAATATCTCTCAATGTGGACAAGTACTCGTTTGACGATCAGATACAAATGTCAATCATTTTAATGTTAAACAATCATAATCATATTCCTGACATGGTTATATTCCAGCTATATTATTATAAACAAAACAATATATCTAAAATGTGATAACTAACTGGGACTGTGCCATGCATGGCATGCTTCTGTATAAATAATATCGGCCCACTTAATTTTCAATTGCGTCTGACCTACTATAGAGAGAACACTGATATTGAAAGGTACTG